ATTCCACCAAATTTAAAACCTAAAATAGACCCGTGGGTCTATTGTACGGATATAGGGTCTGATGATCGGGGGGTTTTTATGTGAGGGGTCTGATAATCGGTAGATTTTATGCGGGCTAAGTAGTACCGGTACATGCATCGTGTGTTATAAAAGGTTTTTTTTTTATTAACATTACTCAAACCATTGTATCAGTAGCATACGTAGTGGAGGGTAAAAACGAATTCGACGTCGCCCAAGGTTAGCGATCTAACCAGCTCAGAAGCAAAGTATGAAAACTCCCAATGACTACGAAGTTAATAAAGAGACCGCAAGCTCGATTACAAAGAAAACCTTTTTTTTTTTTATTTTTTATTTTTTTTTTTTTTAAAAAAAAAAAAGAATAATCAAAAGAACTTGTGCTAAAAACCGATAAAAACCAAACGCTAAAGTCTGCGGCATTATAAAGAACTCTTAAAGGCTTAATGAATTATTAGAATCGACCCAAATGACACAAATATATTTAAAGTTATCTTATAAAATTAATCACTAAACATCCAGTTATTTTAATTTACCAATCTTTAAAAAACTATATATTGAGCAATTATTTGTTCCCGTGCTTAAACAATTGTCCAAGGCATGATCATAAGGGCATACAAGCATCACAGACTATGTATAATTGACTTATTAGCATAATTAGCATGTGCAAAATTTATTTTATCGATTTTCATATATATTATCAAGGTTCAAAAATTATCATACTTCATACTTCTATCGTATTTCGAGTTTTAGCGAAAAAGGTAATATTAGATTAGTGTGAAGGTATTGATGTGATAATAGTTTAACATATATTTAAGCATTAGAAAATGACACGTAAAAGATCAATTTTAAAACAAGCAAATATTACAAAAAAAAAAAAAAGAAGTTGGAATGTTCGTGAAAAATTGGCAATTATTACGTACCTCGAAAAAAACCCTGCAGCTAGCAAACGAAGCACGGCAGAAAAGTTTAATATAACTCCAAAACAATTACGGGAATGGATAAAAAAAAAACAGGAATTAAAAAATGCACCACCTTGTGTTAGACGGTTAAATATTGGTGGGCGTGCCAAATATCCGCTTTTAGAAGTTGATCTTAAAACTTGGGTTAAATCTTTGCGTTCACGCCAAAAGATTGTATCTCGTTATATGGTTAAAACCAAAGCTAGTCAACTTGCAAAGCAACCACGTTTTCTTTCGCTTTATCCAATGATCAATGAGTGCAAATGGAGTTACAAGTGGGTTGATGGTTTTATGCGCCGTAATAACTTTAGCAACCGGCGCCGTACCACTGTAGCACAAAGGTTACCAGAAGACTTAGAACCTAAAAGAGATGAATTTTTAAGTCATATATTATATCATCGCATGCGATACAATTATCCTCTTTCACTTATCGGTAACATGGATGAGACTCCATTAGCATTTGACATGCCCAGCAATTATACAATCGAAGAAACTGGTGCTAATACTGTTGGAATCCGTACAGCTGGTTATGAAAAATCTAACTTTACGGTTGTTTTAAGTTGTTTAGCTGACGGAACCAAGCTGCCCCCTATGATACTTTTTAAATTAGTGAATGTACCACGGCAAGTATTTCCATCAGGCATTGTTGTACGAACCAATCGGAGTGGGTATATGAATAGCGATGAAATGATTTTTTGGATCGAAAATATATGGAATCGACGAGCTCCTTTATCCATCAATCCTCGTTCGCTATTAGTTTTGGATGCGTTTAGTGGTCATCTTACAGACTCAGTTAAGAATCGATTTAATGAGAAAAATACTAACATGGCAGTCATCCCGGAAGGACTTACGAAAAAGTTGCAACCACTGGACGTATATATTAATAAGTCCTTTAAAGACAAGGTAAGCAAATAATATATATATATATTTTAATATATATATATATATAATCCCTTTTTTTATGGTGAACTGACTGTTTTGAAAGAAAAGAAAGTTATCAAATTATTCTAGAAAATATTAATGTTATGAGACACAATAGCTATAGTAAAGTGCATAGTATATAAGTGATTACCAATTGACGGATTACGTAATAAGGTTTCACGCAGACTTGATTTTGTTTTATAAGCACTTTTTTCTTTTTAAAAAAAAAATTTTCATATCTCGTGGGTCAAAATGATTTTTTTGAGGGTTGGTTAATATTTTTGAATTCGCTCAATTATTGTTTCATAAATTTAATTATTTCATTTATTTAAGTATCGCAAACTCTACCTCGATTGGATGGGAGAAGAAATTAAGAAACTAACCCGTACAGGTCGTATCCAACGACCCGCTTATAATTTGGTGGCCGAATGGGTATTAAGAGCATGGAATCAAGTTGATCCCGCCCTTATCAAACGTTCGTTCAAGTGTTGTGGCGTCTCCACTGCTCAAGATGGGACCGAAGAGGAATTAATGTTTAATTATGACTGGGTTAATAACCCAGAGGCTCGAAACAGAAGTGAATATATATATGATGATGAGAATAATGCAAGTGATGATGAAAGCGTTGTTGACTTGACCCGAAACGATAATAGCGATAACGACAATAGCGATAACGACAATAGCAATAACGACAATGGCGATAACGACAATGGCGGTGGCAGTAATGGTGGTAACTATAATGATGAAGACGATGTCGATGAAGACAATGACGGCGAAAACGATGGTGGCGATGATAATGGTAGTGGTAGTCTGGATGAAAATGAAGACGAAAATAATCAACAAGAAGATTGTGATGAAGACACGTATTATGATAATGAGGTGGTTGAATATACAAATTTGTGGGATTAGGACTTTCCGGCTTATACTTTTAGAGATATGGATCTCAACCATAGAAATTGTATCAAACTAATACATAAATAATCAAACTTACAATTTTCTAAAATAATGTGCTGGTACATTCGTCGGTAATTTGTTTAATGGTGAACAGATATGAAAAGTCTCTTGAAGATTTAACAATTTATTGGTTACTGCTATTAATAAATAGAATAAATTGCATATGATAGGCATATATAAATTCGATTTAAATAAAGCATTTGAAATCGAACTTGCCAATTTATGGGCATTAAGAAATGGAGTTTATTGTATAATCGTAGGTATATTTTTCTGAGTTATTGAACAATCAAATAAACTCTATGCACTATGATTATGGGACGTGAAGAAACTTATATGAATATGAAGGATTGTTTGCGGATTTAGATAGTTCATTAAATTTTGAACCGGAATACGTTAGCATTGAGTGTTGTTGTCTTCCAGGCAACTCCAACATTCCGCAAAATTTTATTATAATAACCTACCATTAACTAAACCTGTTCGGAATTGAATTCAAAAAAAGCTTTACAGCTATTATCATAATTCCCGGGACACCTGATAAAATTTGTCGATCCGGTTAAGTTATTGATTTCGGCATAACCCATATAATAAAAATAATATACCAAAATCAATAACTTAACTGGATCGGCC